CATTCAGGGCAGCTGAGCCTGGATTGAATAGCCAAAGAGGGGCCTGTAGTGCCAGGGGAGGTGCCAGGGCTCTGCAGCACAAGTGCAGCAGCTGCCATGGACAGCACAGGGCCTGTGCAGGAAGCCCGTCCCCATTCCCAGCAGTTGTGGGACAGGCACCACCCAGGGCTTCTCAGACTCATTGGGTGCCTTTGGGGCAGGGAGTGAATCCCAGCCCTGCAGGGACACAAAGGCTGTCCCTTCTCTGCCCATCCAAGGCCAGGCCAGGCACGAGTACAAAGCACATCAGCCCAGGCTGTCCACACTTGTTTCCTCCCTCTGCTGGCTCTTCTCTCCCCCAGCATTTCAGCAGCATGTGCTGATCTCCTCAGGGATCAGGCCTGGGATTTTCCCCCTGGGCCTGAGTCCCAGCACGTCCACCCCCAAGGCCGTTGTCAGCAAAGGCTCTGCACACCCCAGCTCTCGGGGCTTTCAGAGCAGCTTTCCCCACTGCAAGTCTGTTCTTACCCCCGGTGCCCCCGCTGAGGGGCTGCAGCCAGACAGGCCCCAATGCCCTGCGTGTGGGGCGCAGGCAGGAGGAGCTGCAGCCCCAAGTCATCTGCATCTGCTTGTCTCCAAGAGGAACCAAGAGGTTGCCATAGTAACTGACCATAGAGCTAGGAATGTATGGTAACTGACCATAGTAATGGGACTGTATAATGGTTGCCATGGTAACCAGCCGTCGCAATGGGAACATATGATGGTTGCCATGGTAACTGTCCATAGGAACAGGAATGTATGACAGTTGCCATGGTAACTAACAGTAGTAATGGGAATGTATGATGGTTGCCATGGTAACTGACCATAGCAATGGGACTGTATGATGGTTGCCATGGTAACAAACAGTAGCAATGGGAATGTATGATGGTCAGCATGGTAACTGTCCAGAGAAACAGGAATGTATGCTGGTTGCCATGGTAACTGACAGTAGCAATGGCATTGTATGATGGTTGTCATGGTAACCAACCGCAGCAACGGGACTGTATGATGGTTGCCATGGTAGCTGACCGAAGCAACGCGAGTCTATGATCGTTGCCATGGTAACTGACCGTAGCAACGGGAATGTATGCTGGTTGCCATGGTAACTGACCGCAGCAGTGGGAATGTATGATGGTTGCCATGGTAACCGACCATAGCGATGGGAATATATGATTGTTTCCATGGTAACTGACCATAGCAATGGGAATGTATCATGGTTGCAGTGGCAACTGACCGTGGCATTGAGAATATATGCTCATTGCCATGGTAACTGATCGTAGCAGTGGAAAGTATGGTGGTTGCCATGCTAACGATTTTAATGACAGGAATGTGTGATGGTCGCCATGGTAACTGAGTGTAGCAATGGGAAGTATGATGTTTTCCATGGTAACTGACCATAGCAATGGGAATGTGTGATGTTTGCCATGGTAACCAACTGTAGCAATGCAACGGTATGATGGTTGCCATGGTAACTGACCGTAGCAACGGGAATGTATTATGGTTGCCATAGTGACCTACTCTACCAGTGGGAAGTATGATGGTTGCCATGGTAATTGACCGTAACAATGGGAATGTAAGATTGTTACCATGGTAACTGAGCATAGCAACAGGAATGTATGATGGTTGCCATGGTAATCGACCGTAGCAATGGGAATGTGTTCTGGTTGCCATTGTAACCGACTGTACAACGGGAATGTAAGATTGGGTCCATGGTAACTGAGCATAGCAACAGGAATGTATGATGGTTGCCATAGTAACCGACTCTACCAGTGGGAAGTATGATGGTTGCCATGGTAACAGATCATAGCAAAGGGAATGTATGATGGTTGCCATGGTAACCGACCATAGCAAAGGGAATGTATGGTGGTTGCCATGTGTACCAGGGTGAATTTATGCTGATACTTTTGGTCTGTGTTTGGCCCAGACAACTGGAAAAGTTTTGTTCTTTCTCTGCCAAGTTTTGAGAAAACAAGCACTGATAAACAGGTATCTCGTCCTTGGAGAGAGAGCTTCTTGTAGAAACTGTTTTAATTGGTGTTCTGTGATTGGCTAATTGTCCTCCAAGGTCGCTTGAGGGAGAGACTAAGGAGGAGGATGAAGGACGCCCCCAGACTCATTTGGAAAAGACCCCCCTGAGTACAGCACGCAGGCGCAGGGAAAGCCACACGTGCGCAGAAGAGATGCACTGACATAACCAAGGGGGTGGGATGGAGAGCCTC